GAAAGAGTTAAGGAGAAGGTTCTATGCAGTTAACTTGCACAACACTTCAAACTGCACTTGAAGCCAACTGGAAACCAGTTTAGATCACAAGGCGGCAGCAACACATTGTCTCTAGGTTTCCAAAGCACATTCATAAGTAATCAGAAATTAAGTTAAACTAAGCCATTCCCAAGGACAAAAAGAAAAAAAAAGGAAACTAATAAATGCCCAAACATACAAAAGAGAAGCCCTCTGACAAAAGAGATGGACAATATTGGGCCAAAGGAAACAAGCTTGACAGTTACCTTTGTAAGAAGCTTAGACATAGGAGCCTTGAACTATGTAAAGGCAAATTCATACTAAGCAAGCATTTTGAGAGCAAAAGTAACTACATGTTATGGGTGTTTCTTTGTTCGTTACTTTAAACTTCACTATCTAAACCAAAACATTCACCAATGAAGAAATTAAAAGAAAAGTTAGTATCCTTACTGCTATACTAGAGACTTCTGAATACATTTCAAGATTAAATAGTGCAATTATGTAGCTATTTCCTTCACTTTTTATAAAAAGTGAAGTTTTTCACTTCAAGTTTTAATGCTGTTAATAAAGTTTGTTGTGATAGAGTATTAATATTTATGTAAGTAATATTTATCTCAGAGGTAATAGGCCTCTGAAAGGCAGGTTTCCATTTGACTAGCTGTTGAGATTAAAGAATTTGCTATTTCAAGCCACATACTAGTATACTAGTTTTAAAGCTACTACTAGTCAAATTACATTTTGCTATCACCTTTATATCTTACACAGAATTACTGCTGTTCTTTCCTAATGGTAGGTATCAATCTTAACAGTAATAATAATAATGTTCATTTTGATAATAAACTTTTACAATACATAGAAAACCAAAACCAACTTTCCCCAAGAGAAAAATCCACAATCTTCTGCTGATCAGAGAATAGTGATCCATTGTGCTTAATGAAATGAAAATGGAGGTTTCATTATTAACAGAGATGGTGGTGATTTCTTCTCATGCATCTCTAAGAAGGAATCAATTTCTTCTCAGAAAGTAGCTAAAAAATTCTAGAGAACTTGATAAACACATCTTCAAAGCAGCTACAGGAAAAGGAAAATCACTATATTTCCTGCATGCGTTTTTCACTTTTCAAAATACGAAGAAATGCATGAAATGCATGTACTCACAAACAAAAATTATATACCATTCTCGAAATTAAGATCATATTTTGCTTTTACAGTCAAATAGGAGGCATGACCACAAAATTCCTTAGAACTGAGCAAATAAATCACCCTGTAAACATGTTCCTATGATATTGTTCTAACAATAAAAGGAACTGAGGATACCAAGTTATGCATCTTCACTGATTAAATTTAGACAGGATAGCAGTGGGTGGTACAAACTCACTCAGTGTGAAACTTGAAAGGTTCTGCATCTCCAAGTGTCCAGGTTTTTCATAACCAAAGTTATATTTAAAAGGAGAACTTGGCTTTATACTGCAGAAGCAAGGGAAACTTGTTACAGGCCCTGTCTGAATAGGTCTGTCCACGTTCATTTAATGCCTTCATTTGATGCCCACAGCAGGAGGTGATTTCTTTCATGAGCTCAATTTCCCATAAGCTTGTAACTTCAGTGCACTTCCAGGGAAACAAAAAAAAAGAGGGAGGAAAAACCTACAAAACAAAACACACCTCTCTGCTAACCCTGTAGATTTCTTTATACTCTCAGCAGTCACTGAGTGAGTTAGAGATGGATGAATTTACTGAACAAGGGCACTGACCAAGAGTGTAAGGGATAGTCTTCCCAAAATATCTACTTTCTCTAGCCTGATATGTTTCTTTTTTCTAGAGTTTCATTGTGGCACAAGAATTAGGCATCCCTTGAGAAAGAGAAAATCAGGTCTACCTGCCCTTCCCTGCACTCCCTTCCCTCGTACTCACTATTTCAATGCTCTGTCAGATCCTCCAGTTTTGTAGTTCACAGGAAAAACAGAGGTAGTGGGGGACAAAACACTGGAATTCTACAGTCAGAGTCTACTGTTGCAGGTTGTAAAGTCTCTGATGTTACCTTCACTACAGTCAGGCAGATCAAGGAACCAGGTTATCTGGAAATGGCTTCTTCCTGATCTGAGACGGAAGACCTTGCAAGATCCCATCCAGCCCTGTGTCTTAACAGCCAACAATGTGTCAGAAAGAAAATGGAAATAAGAAGCAGACAGCATTTGTCTCAAAAGTGAGATTGGGAAGACATAAACCAAATTAGGTTTAAAGTGTACAGTTCTAAACTTCAGCTGCATCTTTTCTTCCCCTCCTGTCTCCAAGGAAGCATTGTAAACTCTCATTTGCTCTTACGACACAGCATAAGCACACTAAGTATTTCTGCCCCTTTAATTTTTTTTTAAGCTCAGTAAAAGCTGCAGCAGGATAGGGTTCTCCTTATCTCACCTCTTCTGTATTGCAAGGTAACATTAAATCCATATTTCATTTTGAAAGGAGAATGAGTGTAAGAATCTTGCTGCAAGAGTGGACAACAGAGAAGGAACCTTAGGGAGATGCTCAAATGGAAGGATTACCAGGGTCTCAGCAAAAAGAAAAAAAAAATCTTTGCAGTTTTTGCAATTGGCCTTAAACCCATGCACATTAAACTACTTGTGATAACATCCGTATCTTTTAAAATCCTCCTGAAAACTTGGCTCATGCAGATTGAATATCTACCCAAACTGCAAGGACCAAGGTGGGAGTGGTAGGGCAAAAAGCATTGGAAACAACCTCGCAATTTCTGAAGAGGAATTAAGGTTGTTAAAACAGGTCCCACTTCTATGAGGGGCAGATGTCCTGTCCTAATCGTAACTCTACCAACTTCCCCAAGCAAGGGTGCTGGCCAGGAAGCAATTGAAGACAACAGCTACTCTCTCCCCTCTTCCTTCATCCCTTCCTCTCTCCCTTTTTGTTCTCTGAGGAGAAACTAATGCTGGCCAGAGTTCACACCCGAAAGCAGGGCAGAACACTATATTCTTTCCTTACCATTCTCTTTCCTCTCAAATGTACAAGTTTGTCAGTTGGTTGATACCTTTCTACCAGTTCCTAGTATAAATTCTTGAAACGTAGTTGTCTGACCAGAAGGATTCCTGCCACCATAGATAAACCAGAAGCAGAAGACATATAGAATATAACACGGTATTTAAAAAAAAAAAGAAAAAGGAGTGGCTCAAAGATGACAATTGAGTATCCTGAAAAGTTACAGACAACATTGAACTAAAACCATAGAAAGCTTCTTTTCACTACAGTTGATAATCTGCATCTTGATTCACTGTTTCCGTTATGGTATTTCTTATTCATCAGCACGGATTAACAAATCCAAAGCCTTTTTCCATATATTTCTGGATCTCATTTTACTTATTTTCTGAGATATAAAAGTAGGAAAAGGCAGTCCTAAACTTGTTTTATCTTTTTCAGTTTGTCACTGAAATTCATAGCAAACTCAAGAAATCAAAATCGCTTTGATAGTTATGTCTCCACCAGTCTACTAGGATTCGCAAAGAAACCATCATGTTGAAGAAGAAAAAAATTCATTCTACTTCTATTGAAATAAATTACAACTCAGTGCACTAAAAGCCAACATGGGTGTCTGTGCAAGTCGTGCAATTTTCTGGATCACCATATTATTAATAATTCCTTTTAAAAATCATTATCTTCATAAAAATTAACTAATTACACATTTGCATTTCCAAGTATTAAAGCTCAGATGGGGTATACATAAAAGAACAAAAAGAGAGCAAAGAACACCTGAAAAATATACATGAAAACCTGAAACAAGGTCATGTGTATTTCAACTACTTATTTGGGAGGTTTTTTTTGTTTTGTTTCAAAGAATGTGTTTTATTTCTTGTCATATTATTGATTTGAAGCACAGAAGACTACTCGGCATTTCAGAGTTGGTTAGGACAGGTCATTTACGAACAATATACTTGCTGGTTTCAATACATAAAATTTGTTGACATAAAAGCCATGAAGAAGTAAAGTCCTAGCTGGAAGAGTCATTAAATTTTACAGAGTGTAAAAGGGTCTGGTTTAACCACTACGTAATACCTGAGGAACCTGGTACTACCCCCAGAAGATTTTTCAAAAGCATAAATCAATTATTTTCTGTAGAGTACAATAATTTATACTCCAAATCAGGCTGAATGTACTGACGAAAAAAAAAAAAACTTTCTTTTACATTCCTGTTAAAATTTAAAACTTGTATTTTTATCATCAGTATGTAAACAAGAAAACTTATGGCATCACATGGTTCTGTGCAGCACACCACTGTGCTGCATCATTTTGCTGAAAGTGCCAATATAACCTGCACGCATTCTATTAGCTGACAAAGCAAAAAGTAAATCCATTTTCACCTTTTAGTCATTATTTAGGTGGGTTACTACAATTGCAAAGACAGAGCTCTCTGAACATAAAGGAATAAGTTAACAACTAAAGAATACAGTTTTCAACTTTGAGGTCCTTGAAGAAGCAAAAACATCCCTAAAATTGACTTAGTTACATCAATCCACAACCTTTACATTGTATGGCTTCCAATATAATACTGATCTGCAGTCAAACGTCAAATAAAAAAAGCCCCAGTTCTCCCATAGGAACTTGCATCCTTCTCTGTATTTAAACATACACAGGACTGCATATACATACAAACAGACATACTTTGACTATTGAATCTAATAATTTGGATTAAGTTCATTTTTAAGCACATTCCTGAAAAAAACAGATGAGGCTAAGGTCTAATATCAACAGTTTAGCAAACTTTTTAAAAGTTACAACAGAGAACCCACAGGAAAACTTGTTTTGTGTGTATGAAATCTAATCAGCTATTTTCAAACCATTAAGATGATCTCTAGCAATTGAACCCAAAACTAAGTATGTACACACTGAATGTGACAAGGACTGTTTTGGTTTGCTCCTTCCCCGATGATCACTGTGCACAGAAGTCAAGGTTAACAACAGAGGCTGAAGAGACAGACTGCAGACTCTGCTTTTTTGTGAGTCTCAACAGTAGCCACAGGGCAGAAGCCTGTCAGAGTCCATCGGTTTCCCACGCTGTGACAAGACCACCGGAGCAGGGGCCTGAACTGATATCATGCTGTCACAGCTCTTCTGTGTAGACTTAGAAGGTACGCATTGATAAACACAATACCAAGAACAATCCTATGCCACATATAGCCAAAAAAAACCCCAAATTATTTCTTTTAAAGCTTGACAGTTCATGGAAGAGCCTTAGGCAATAATCCAGGTGCCTAGACAACTAAAGCTGTGTTGTGATTCAGACTTTTGCCATTGTAATAATCTCTCCTGCTAAAAATACTTATCCCAAACATAAGCCAACTAAAAATCACCCTTTCTCCTTATAATTCTGCCCCAACTGCTTCCTAAACTGGAAGCTCATTTGCAAGGAGGGAACCAGGTGAGCAAACTGTCATTACCAGTCTGTACATTGGTCAGCAGATGGTGCCATAATAATTCTAAAAATCAGTAGCACATTTCAAAGGTCAAACTTTAAACAGCAACAATATTCCAGTTTCAAGTGTAATTCCCAAATTATGACAAGTAATTGAATGTTTTCATAGAAGTATTAACATAACATAATTTTATAAATATAAACTTCAGAGCCAGACAGTGGATTAACTACTCCATGACAATAAAAATTAAAGTTACATGTGTACATGAACATGTGTGTGTCTAAGTATATACACATATTCACATAGCGTCTAAGCTTATCTCCAAGAGCAGAAATGGCACAAAATGGTGTCTTCCCAAAGGATCCTATGTCTATCAAAGCAATTTCCAGAGAATTCCAGGCACGTCATGGTGGCTAGCAGCCCCGGAGTTAATGGCAACTATACTCATAAGCATCCTTTTACCTAGATAGTGAGGTCACTATTCAAAATAGCAGGTATTTTGTTAGCCTTCACGTTTACTTCCATGCCATCATACAGCTGAATATTTGCAAGCGTACAATGCTTCCCTCCCAAATACAGTAGCCTGCCTGCATTACTAGGAAAACATTTTTGTCCTAATATAAATATTGAAATATCACCAAGTCTCTAGAACACTATTTTGTTAACATTTGTCTCCTGACACTAGGTAGCAGCCTAAAAATGTATAATAAAACATAGAAAATAATATTAGAAAGTACTGTTTCCCAAACTAAATGAAATGCATTAACCGCATCATCTGTGTAACAGCACCCACATACATGTTAAAGCTCATCACAAAAAACCCAACCCCAAAACTTTCAACAAAATCAGAACATAAATACCTTTCAAGTGCTACACGTAGCCAAGTTGCGATGCCCACATCAAAATTTCTTTGAGATTACATTCAAGCAAATATACATCTTGCAGCACTCAGTGCTATCTATACCATATCCAGAGATAACAGGAATCTGTTCCTTCTGTATTTTCAATCTACAAATACTCTGATCAAGGCAAAAAAAAATCTCAAAGAGCAACTTAATTCAAATCAAGAAATCTCTCTTTGCCAGAGTACATATACACATATATAATCTGTTTATCAAGCTAGTTTTGTGCTGTTCCCCAGCACTGAAAAAATGTTATAAGCTGATGAGAATCCAACAGTCTTTTTGAAAAGCTGTATTGAAGATTGACCCCACCCAAGCCCTGACACTGCTAGAGAAGGGCATGCTCAGTGGAAAGCCAGGATTTAGTTCCAAATTCATTCCAGCAGCCAGAAAATGGACATGGGTCAAGAGACAGCTCTGTTTTCCTGTTATCTGTCCAACAAACTAACAACAGTTTGAGAAAAATCTCTGCCCTATCTTTAAAATCAACGTTGCAAGTTTACAGTAGGTTTTGACTGTTCACATTAAACCCTCATGATAGCCACAATTTTAGAGATTAAAAACAGCAGTAAGCCATCATTTGTTCTGAGCAATGTTGTCCCTCCAATCTCCATTCCCTTCCTTCCACACCATCCCATCTCACCGCATGGCTGTTTCCGTAACAGCGCCGCAATTCCACTGAAGCACAGGCAAACTTTTCGTTTTTTCCAATTCTTAAAGAAATGGTGTGTGTGTGTGTGTGTGTGTGTGTGTGTGAGCAGAATCTATTTGGGTTCTGTAAATTATTTAGCTTGTTCTGATATGAAGGTGATTGATTTTTAGATGCCACAACAATTTTTTTATTTCCAACTTTCATTCTTTCCATTTATAATGTATTGGCAACATTAAAACCAGTTTCTTTTTATGCTTACAACATTAAGTTTACTCTTGCATAAAGTATGCTTCCAAGGCACTTACAATAACATGGTTAATCAAAGAATTTTCCAACTCAGGTTGAAAAATAACGTACTAGTACCCAGGAATTTTTTTTACTGCAAACTGAGAGGCCCCAGTGTAATAAAGCTCCTGGATGCTGGAAGTCCAGATGCACATCATTGTTTTGACAAGTACCCATTTCCTCTTCAGTGGAAGTCATATAGAGAATTATTACCATCTCACACGTTTAGGAAATGTACAACAGCATGCAAAAGAGGGAAATAACCGCAATACCAGGATTCAAGGTCAGGAAAAAGAAATGAGAAGCGACTAATCTGTGCTTTTGGTAGAACACTAGTCACAGACCCCTACAAGCAGAACACATTTGTAAGTAATTTTCATAAACAGATATAACCATTAATTTTATTTCACCAGTATGTTGAGGCTGAATGTCACACAGATGCAGACACTACTGAGATCACATGCAAAATGCCTGTTGGCTTTTTATTTCAGCTAATCCAACATAGGAACAACGGCCAAAAACCAGCTGACAAATGCATTAAGACAGTTTGCTCTGTCATGTACAAGAAGAGAGTTCAATAGACAAGTGATGTTTACAAAGCTTCAGGGTGTAAACATAGCCACAGAAGTGCCTTTTTTGGCAGCAACATCAGTTCAGTATTTCGACTTTAAAGTGCATTTCATCATTTTTGCTATTGTCAAATACAAGCACTATAGAGAGAACAGTTCTCTTTGGCAAGCCAGTTTAACAATACTGGTTGATGGTTACACATTACTGAGGGAAATAAAAACCTGGAAAAAGTGACATTAAAATTATAAATTATTTTATACAGGTGACAGGTGTAGAATCTTCTCCTACTACTGATTATTTTTCTTAATGTCAATTTTCCTGAATCAGAATGCAAGTTGAAATACAAAAATCGATACTGCCCATCACTTCCTACCGATAATGAAGTCAGTTTCAAATACTTGGTTAAATGGCATCCCTGGCAATTAATCTTAAACAAGCTTAATCCAAATTCCAAATAAGTGCAAAGTTTCAAGCTATATGGTGAAGTATTTCTGGATTTCTGCAGGTAAGTTGCAGCTGTCTCTTTGCTGGGTTCGTTGCTACCAGTATGTGAATCAACTGTTGAAGGACCTGCAAAAATCTTAACACACATGCAAGTAAACAAATCCAGGCTATTAGTTGTATAGTATATTTTATGAAAAATAAACAAATGAAAAATAGAATAGTTAAAAACATAATTCACAACTGCTGTTGCAATGAATAAATGCTGTCCCATATTCCCTGCCAGCTATCCCACATTCCCCAAACTTCAGAGGTTAGCCAGTCAAGATGTCTTGTGTTGGCATTTTAATTTTTATGTTTGCAGCTAGCACAAGCTGGCTGAGTCTTGCATGTGCTACTGGAACAGAAGTATTCCCTTGTAAGAGCAGAATCAGTTTACTCAGTGTTTTTTCCACCCCCCGAATAATTATAATGCATTTAAAATGATATATGTAATGCAGGACACTGCAAACATTTTCCTACATATTTATGTTTACTCAAATACATAACAGAGTATTGAAACTATAGATAATACTGCTCTTCAGGAAAGTATGCATCTACTGCTCCTGTGGGAGCATAACACTGCCAGACCCAAGCAACAAAAAGCAGTGAAGGAGAGATGCCTCTTAGCTGAGAAAATAAAATTGGCAGCCGAAACTTCATCGCTCCCATAGGCTCTTCTGAATGCTGGTATTTGATTAGAGGAGTGAAAATATCAGCAACTTCCTGAAAGTTTCCCACTTTTTGCGGCAATGGCTTTACCACTAACAACATTTTGATCACAGCAACATCTCTGGGCTAGACAAAGTGAAATGATGCCCTAAAGATCAGAAACAAGTCTAATACTAAGGGGGGGTGGGGGGAAGGGAGCAAAAGAGAATTTTATGCTAATAATGCTGGTTTTGTGCCTGGGCTTCAGCACTTAATACGTTTGTTAGTCATCTAAGTGCTTTAGCTGTTTTGTGCTTTTTGGAAGGACATTCCCAGCATGAAAGATTGTAATATAAAACAGATAACAGGATATGCATGAAAGTCTCAAGGGAGTAACCATTTAAACAAAGTTTTCTTTGGAGAGTTAGGGAATGATGACAGATAAGAAAGATTTAAAAGAATTCATTTGTGAACATGAAGAACAGGGTGGGGAGGAGTATTTAGAACTGTCCTGTAGACAAGGAAAAAGAGACGGTGATTTGCCAAACCACGACTGCAATGACATTCCCATATAAATATACATCACAAACTGCAGTTTACCAAAGCAGCCTCACCCATTGCAGAAAAGCCTTTTAATGACCACGTACAAATGGGGATGGTGTGTTATTACAGTAAGTTTTCAGGCCAAATTAGGTAGAAGCTTTATTCTGCCTTCTTGAGCCACATTTTCAGTTCTCATTCTACATATCCAGAGACATTTCAAAGCTTTGAAACAGTCCTAGGCAAACACAAATCCAAGTTGACAGCAATTTATCATCTAACAGTTTTATTACACAAACACATACAGCACAACATTATGAACTCCACACCAAAAAGACGTATGTGTTTGAATGAAACTTGCAATCTGCATGGGCTTGGGGTTTTTTTTGCCTCCTTCTGGGCTCATCAGTTTAGATGCTGACTGAACAAATGCTTGAAAGCATATTTACCCTCAAGTGTACTGCTGTTCTCTATGGGTATGCTTCTCTTGCATTTAAACTTAGATCCAAGACCATGTTTGAGCTCACGGTCATGGATTTCCCCCATCCTATCTAATTTTCCTTAGCTCTGGATTCACCTCTGAAGTACTTTGAAATATGAGAAAGGGAAAATTTGTGTAAGTATTTAACAGACCAAACTCATTTCAAGTTTTTCTTGACCATAGTATACTGGTTAACAACTGTTCTTTTTTCGGAAAAGGATATTCCTGTGTGGAAGCCATAGGAAGCATAGACTAACAAAAAGAGACTCAGACTCTTATTTAAAGTTACATTGTGTTCTCTCAGAAATCAAGATCACTTAAACAATAGTTCCCAAAGTGAGATGTCAGAGACCAAGAACTAGAGCTCTGGTCCAGATAAAGTCTGGGATTTGCTACTCTAAGAAGTCTGCCTAAACATATGATCCTCAACAAATAAAGGACTGAAAACTTCTGGCACTTAGAAAACGTGTATATCTGTGTCTCTGTGTTAGGATGGGAGAAATACATCCATACGATAGACCTGAGTTTTGGGAAACAGTATAAACAACATGCAAATTAACGTTCAATTAATTCAGTAACAAGTGTGGATACAGAAACACAGTAAAAGGGAAGGATTCTCAATTCTCTCTTCCTTTTATTATGAACAAAAAACTTGGGAAAAAAAAGCTAACAGTTAAAGAAAGTGAAGACACCACTGGAGAGAAAGTCAGGAGTAAAAAAAATGGAGTGGGGGAGGGAAGGAGAAAACAGGAAACAGACACTGAAGACAAAACAGGAAAAAAGGTCATGATTTGTATAATAGCCAAAAAATTGCAGTGAGGTCAGAGACGGGGGCAGGGTGGGAAGACACCAGAATCCCAGTATGGGCTAAGTCACATTGTAGAGGCTACTGAGTAGAACACAAGATCTCCAAGTGTTGGTCCTTCAAGTGCTAGGCCACAGAAGATCCAGCAACTATCATTTCACCCTCACATATAAAATCCTGCCTAGTAAAGTTGTTTAACCACAAAAGAATTTGTGCAAGAAAGGGCAAATGCACACCTATAGGACAGGGAAAAGCAAAACCCTTCAACCCACTGCCCTTATGACATACTGTTTCCACAGAAAAATTTCTTTTCAAGAGCCTAAAGTCTCTTCCCTATGCAATCAAATGCCTCACAAGAGCCAATATTTTTAAGACTTTTCCAGTAGCTTCTTCATTTTCGTACATTAATTTCATGACAAGTTTCAAGATCTGTTCTTCTGTTTTAAGATTTAAACAGTGTTCCCTCCTTTGCACTTGTAATTATTTATGTATTTATTTTTAAGCAGCAAATGCTTGCTTTAGATTGTCTAATGGATTAAGTGAAACATTAGACTTCCTGGAAAAACTGGGTTACTGTATCCCCAAATCCCTAAAGTGACAGAATTCTGATTAGTTTGCTTTTGTTTTTCAGGCATATCTGCAGGTCCATAAGTGTTTC